TTTTAGAAAAGTAATTCAAGAGACAGAAAGAATTGGGCTACTGCTTTCTTCAGTCTCCTGCACCAACCATTTAATATGGGCAAAATGCTAGTCATTCACTATTCAAGGGTGCGCAAAACAAATATTCTAGAAAATTTAATTCAGATTTTTTTAAAGCCACATCTAAATTTATTACTTCATTATTCATTATTACTTCATTATTCATAATGAAGAGAGAGATTGATTCCTTGCTTTATAGTTTGGCCATGATTGGCCCAGAGAGCTCATACAGAGAGAGTATGGCCATATAATTTGAAAACTGCCTGGATCTTGTTGTCATCGCATTTTAAAGGAAAAACCAGTAAAACCCATCTCTGCCTCTTCATGCTTGATTGCATAGTGCTGTAGTTATCATTATCTCCTAACTACTCTTAGTTAAGATGGGATATACAGTGTGGTATTCATGGACACCATTAGACTTATAGATACACCCCAAAGCACCTTCCAGGTTTTAATATTTTTAAAAGATGTATTTAATTAAAAAGCAGACATATGCAATCTCATCATAAATGGATGTTTTATCACTGGCCACACCCATCACAGAAGCCATTTTGTAAATATGAAAATTCTTTCCATGGCAATTAATTAAGAAGGTGTCTTGTTGTGCCCTTAATATTCCAGATCTGCTCGCTAATCTAAAATAAGCAGTTTCCCTAAAATTAAGGAAGGAAGCTGAAGATCTCTCTGGAACAGCAGCTTCAAAATTTTCCATGGCATTTACATAAAAGAAGATGGTGTTTCACGAACAATCTCTTCCAAAATGTATTATGTCAGTTAACATAAATAGATGGGAAACCAGTGGAAAAGAATAGCAGAGAAGTGGGTGAGATTTAGAAATGTCCCCAAGATGTGTAGTTTGGGAGTACATGATACCATAATCCTGCTACAACTAAGCAAATTCAGTAACTGATCTCTCTGGCTCATGTACGTGCTGCTTTGAATTTAATTGATGACTGGGAATAAAAAATGAACAAGGGAGCATTCTGTAACAAAATGTTCCTGCTTGGAACATTTGGGTTCAGGATATCTTCGATGTCCATTTCCAAAATAAAGGTAAAGGCATGCTCACAAGGTCTATTCCTAACCCAGATGATGAAATGTGTATTGCAATGTTGCAATGCAAGACCTGCTGTTTCATACTTGTGTCATGATGTCACATACTGGTACACAAGGGCAGTGGTGGGATTCAGCCAGTTCGCACTACTTCGGCAGAACCAGTAGCTAATTTTTTGTTGCCCAGGCCTAGAATGGACTTCCGGAAGTGGCATCCACGCAGAGAACCGGTTGTTCACATATTTGAATCCCACCACTGCGTAAGGGGCAGAGTTTCTGTCACAACCTTATACTGCATATTTAGGCGCTTGCCCCTACGAAGATACCTATGGCAGTTTCTTTGTAGACGAAGTAAAGAGAAGATTAACATCATGCATGATAGCACTGAGTACGTTATGCAAAGAACGCACTGTATTTCATTCACATCGTGATGCAATCGGCGCAGATTAGATCATCTGCGTTATTTGTTTGATGAAGCCACAATGAATGCATGTGATGTTATGGATTCTATCCAATGCATATAGTGAAATTCGAACACTCCGTTCTCGCTATTTTCCATCAATATTTGGGCCCTACCTCTTGAACATAGACATGGTGTGTCTATGACTTTAATCAACTCTAACATTCTTTCATATAAAAAGTAAAAGATTATCTGCAAACCTTCCAAGCGCATAGAAGGCTAATAAGAGGAAAAAATATAGCTGAACTCCATAACGTGGTAATTTATTATCACACGGTGACTTCTGATTATGCAAAACTTTAGACCTTCCAAGATACATTCCAGAAGGTTGTGACATAGATAGCCTATAGCTTTGGTAACCATACATTGGGAATTTCTGGGTTAGATGATTACAAATGTTTTGAGAAGAATTCCTTAAATATAGGTGGTTTTTTTTTTTAAAAAAGTGCTAAATCAAAATTGAATGGGTAAATTATGTGCATTGGATATTCTGATCATAATCTGCTTCTACACTGTGTCTTTTCTGACAAAGGAATATGTGTGTACATCAAAAACTTTAAAAGGAGCAATGCGGGTATCCTATTCCCCAGATGAATGGAGAGAATCTTCTGTAGTGGCATCCCAGTTACAAAATACTATTTCTAAAAACTCTCTTTGCAGTGCTGGGTCTTTATATTTTCCACAGCTTTAATGTAGCATCTTAAGTTCTCAATTTAACCTGGTTTTTAACACCTTGCTTTCTTTTCCCTTATGCTTCCATTTGAATTAGTTAACTGCACATTATATATATATACTTTAAAAACCTTCTTCAGCTCTTTTGAGGTAGTAAAAATAACTATAATACATAAAATCAATATGTACACAAAATGTGACATGTAGTGGAAAATAACTCTTGGGACAGAGAATGTTATAAATTTTAGGAAAAAGAGAAAATAAGCCTCTCGGCAATAGGGAACAATGTACTAACTAAAAGATGATGCTACAAAAGTGCACCTCTAATTTAACTGCTTTTATTTGTTTTTATTTATTTATATTTCATAGTTCTAAACTGTCCACCTCCCTCAGATACTGACCAGGGTTTGTTTGCTTCTGCCTTTCCTCCAGCTTTGGGAGCAGAAGACTTAAAAATGAAGGGCTCTAAAAGGCTGTCTATGGAGATTCTCAGTCATCCAGGTCACAGTTGTCCCAAGGGTGCTTTTCCACAAGGTAACTTGACTTTCTTTTTTCTCTTTGAAGATGTTTTGCTTCTCATTCAAGAAGCTTCTTCCATTCCCCACCACCCAGTCAGAGCCGAAGAAGGTTCTCGAATGAGAAGTGAAACTTCTTCAAAGAGGAAAAAGAAAGTCCAGTTGCCTCGTGTTCTAAAAGGCTATTGGTTCTAGTCCAGTGGTGGCGAACCTATTGGTTCTAGTCCAGTGGTGGCGAACCTATGGCACGGGTGCCAGAGGCGGCACTCAGAGCCCTCTCTGTAGGCATGTGCGCCATCGCCCCAGTCCTAGGCCTTCAGCTGGGTTTTATAAAACCTTTTCGCTTTAGGCCTCCGCCGCCATGTGCAAAAAAAAAAAAGGTTCAATCAATTTCAACTTCTCGCAGGAAAAAAAAGATCTTGCAAAGTTGGAATTGATTGATTGAACTTTTTAGTCCCACCCAGTCTGCTGTTACCACCGCAGCCACGCCAAGCCAATGGGCCACGCCCAGCCAATGGGCCACACCCACCTGGCACCCGACGATGCGTAAGTGGGTTTTGGACTGCAGTTTGGACACTCGGTCTCTAAAAGCTTCACCATCACTGTTCTAGTTCTTTACCCTAGGAAAGGTTGTATAAGAGCTGTGAAATCTGAGATCCTTTTCCAAATATCATTCAAAGGCATTGAGAAAGGTCATTCCCAGTGACTTCCAATGCTTACTTTTTTTATGGGTGGGTAGCTTACACGGCACTGTTTTCCACCAATAAAAAGTATTTTTTCCTGCTATTTACCATAATCCCATTGTCCTTTGTGCTGTCATCAATGGATTGCAATCCTATTTCCCCACTTCCCTACAGCTGTCTTCTTTAAAACAGTCCACCTTCTCATCCTACATTCTTTCTTCCATTGGTCAGAAAAACTCAGTAATGATTTTGTTCTGATTCTTCTCCTCAGTTTGCTCACCATTAGCCTGCTTCTCCAGAATATGGATTTTTGTTGGGCTTCAGCAATCTGTCCAGAGACCTGTTTTAGCACCATTTTTAGAAGACTCTGGAGTGGCTACAAGCTAACAGGATATGTGTTTATATATCAAAAACATACATAATACTTGTTGATCCTGAATTTCATCTTAAATATACTGCATATATGGAGCCCTAAAAGTACAATTATTTTCAGTAATAGAACTGTTACTATTCTCCTATCTAACAGTTGCTTTTTTTGCTCAGTGAATCTTACTGAATCCAGCAAGTAGAAAATTAACTCTTATTTCATAATGCACCTGATCACAGAACTAGGCTTAGTCTTAGACATTTGTTACTTTATGTAACATGTACACATAGTCTTTTTTGCAGTATAGTTGAATGTTCATGGACCCATATCATTTATTTTTATTTTATGACTCATTGACGATAGCTTAAAGGATAATCAGTGGAGAACTTATGGCCTCCAGATGTTGCTAGAGCTTCACTGGCCAACTTGACTTGGGCTTCCAGAAATTGGAGTCCAGAATATTTGGAGATTTTCCAGGTTCCCACTTTGATCAATAGAAGTGGGAACCTGGAAAATCTCCAAATATTCTGGACTCCAATTTCTGGAAGCCCAAGTCAAGTTGGCCAGTGAAGCTCTAGCAACATCTGGAGGCCATAGGTTCTCCATTCTAGTTCATATTTTTAACTCTTTCTTTCAGGAGTCATACACTAGGACCTATAAAATATATTTTTTCCCAATGTTGCTTCCAAAATATTTTACCAAAGACTTTTTTTATCTGTTTCTCTATCAATAGCCCTCTTTTTCTACCTTCCAAGAAAGAAACCAATGGGCAATAGGGCAGCAAAGGGGTGGCTTTTCATACTCATTGCTGCAACTGTTCTGGTCTATTTCTACTAATGCTGTTATTTAATAACTAATGCTGTTATTCAATAATAGCCTATAATCATAATTAAGTTAACCAGGCAAGATCTCAGAGTCCGCCCCCCCTGATTTTTTTAGGTTTAGATAAAAATCTTGACTTAAACATCCAATTCAGCTTTTCCACTGATAATTAGTGACATCCAAATGGTCATAACATTTTGAAATGTTTCTCTCAACAGCTTTTTCTCAAAGAACAATACACAAATATAAGTTGTATGAATCAAACGCTAATCAGGTTTTCTTATATACCAAAAACTCTTATTTTGTTTGTTCACTTATTTATCCAATTCAGTTACTGCCCATCTCACTCTCAGAGTGACCACAGCCCATGAAAGAATTGCATGACATACCTTAAGTTCTCTGAAGAATATGCTACTCCTAGCCCACTCGACAATTGAGAAGAGGGTTTGGTCAGCCATTTTGCACATAAGCCCAAAAGTGTTGAGCTTTTCATGCTTGCTTCTGTTGGCCTGCTCTTGCTGCAAGTAGGCCATAATCTTAGCTTGGACTTGTGGCTCATCTGGCTCACACTTCAAGAGTTCCAAAATCAGGTGAGGAATACTTGCTGGTGAGCTGGTCTGATGGTAACCATCCATGTAAGAGTAGCCCATTATCGACTCTGGAGAACTGGTATAAGGATCAGGGTACTCAGACTTGATAGCACGGCTTGGAAAGTGACTGTAGCTCTGATAACCTTGCAGGCTACCATGTGGCGGCATTGTCATGCTAATTGGAGAGGTGACAAAAGGGCTTCGGTCATAGTCTGTGGGAGGCAAGGCTGTGTGGTTCAGAGGTAGGCCCTTGGAGGCAGAATGGATGTTCTGGATGGCAGAAGATATTGTGAGATCAGTGGGCATCGCTTGAATCACCTGAGTCATGGCTTCTAATTTGAGTCCATTTGCTCGGATGAGCGCTTTCTTCTGCTGCTTCAGTGCCCTGTCCCTCTTGTACATGGGTCCAAATTTGTTCCGACCTCCACGCATTCGGTCAGCTCTCACGGCTGTTGAATGTAGTGGTGAAAAAAAAGAAAGTTATAGGTGTCACATTGCAGACATGATACAAATACACATATTGACAGGAATCTCATCATTTTCAGTCCTTGATCAACCTGTAGTACAAGTTTATGTTGAGTACGCAGTAGCTGTTTTAACGGTTTTTATTTTATTTTAGTGTGCTGTGGTGGCGCAGTAATTGGAATGCAGTATTGCAATCTAACTCTGCCTACTGCTGGGAGTTCGATCCTGATTGGCTCAAGGTTAATTCAGGCTTCTATCGTTCTAAAGTCAGTAAAAGGACTTAGATTGTTAGGGACAATATGCTGATTCTGTAAACTGCTCAAAGAGTGCTGCAAGGCACTATGAAATGGTATATATTAGTCTAAGCGCTATTGCTATTTATTGTAATTTCACTTTTGATGAACCACCAGAGAAGGTCTAACATTGTGAATAAACATATTGTATTAATTTGCAAGAATTTACTGCTTTCTTGTTATATTGCTGGATGAAAGCCATACTGGTGAGGAATCTAAAAGAGCATAATTCAAGCTTGGTGTATTAAATTTTCTAGTAAATCTAAGAGGATAGGGTGTAAAAAATTCTTCTAAAGGACTCTAGATTGCATTTTGGGGCTGGGCAAGAGCTTTTAATAACAGCTTTTCAAAAGGCTTATCATTTATTTTTTTCTAATTGTTATACTCTTTTGACTTAACCCATTGAGTAGATGTTATTTAAAGGCAATTTAATGCTCTTCACATTGGCCCTTATTCTGAAAATAGGAAGCTCGCCAATTTTGGAGAGAGGTAATAAATTGCACTGTTGTTATTTCCTCAAGTTGATTGTCTATGATAAAGAGCAAAGTGTCACCAAAATGAAAGGATTTTGCAACTTCCAATACAAATCATATCAGAATTAAGGTTGTGGAGAAAAAAATGCTACTCTGGGTTACAGTACTATGTTGCTAGAACATGTTTTAAAAGCAGCAATATTTTACCAAGACCAATACCTTCCCAAAGGTATTCAGACAATAAGAAGGGCCTTTGACAGCTCGGTGACATGCTGAGATAGCTGGAGGTTACGTTACTAAGCTTTTATCTCATAGATTAGCATGCCATTAAAAATGTATTAGAAATCCTAGGTATACAGAGACCTATAAAACTATCATAAAGAGGTTAACAATTAATGATTTGATCCTAAAATGTAATTTATGAACTAGAATGCAAGACTATGTATCATAATCAAGGAAACATGCATATAAATATTAAAAAATGTTTATAGCTGAAAGCAGGAGTTCCTTCCCATCCTGCTGATAACAAAGAGGAAGTCTGTTAATATAGGAGAATATTGCTAAGTAATCTTTAATAAATAAATAAGAAAACAAATATTGGATGGAAACACATCCACTCTTATTTTGCTGCTGGCAAAGGAAAAGTAAACAGAAACGCCTAACAAATTATAGTTAAATAGTTTTATCTACACTACTCAACCATGCCACATTCTGGGATTAATTTTTGATTGCTTTTTTTTTTTTTTTAGGAAAAAGGTGAATTCAACCTCCTCCGATTATGGATTTTCCAAGATATAAGAGGCATGTAACACATTCAAAGAAGATACACAGACCTCTTTTCTTAATTATCGTCTCCATACAAGAGCTGTAACAACCCATTCAGCGAAGAAGTCAAGTCACATTTTTTTGTTTTTGAAAACTAGCATTAAAGGTCTCTGAGCACATTTGATATGCTTCACCTCTGTGTATCTCATTGAACAACTTGTGAAAGGTTAGGGCTACAGCATATAGTATGTAAAATGATAAATGGGATTTTTCAGTGTATTCACAGAAGAATAAAGGAGAATATTTATAGCTCAGGGTTGATCTGAGGGGTCCTTGGTGCTCTCTCAGCTTGGTTGTTTTCTTGCAGATGTTTCATTACCCAAACTAGATAATATCATCAATGCTAATGACTAGCACGGAGGATGTCTATGGAGACTCTCAGTCATCCAGGTCATGTAAGTTCACATGGTGCAATAAGATTGTGTGTTTGTTGTCACTGTGAGTTGTGTCGGGGTGTGTGTGTGTGTGTGTGTGCACGAAGGGAGGCTTAGGCAATCTCATTGTACACATGTTGTACTCTGACAATAAAGGTTGATTTGATTTGATTTGATTTGGTTTGATTTGATTTGGTTGTCCCAAAGGTGCTTTTTCAAAAGGCAACTGGATTTTGTCTTATCTTGAAGATTGTTCCCCTTCTTATCCAAGAAACTTCTTCAGAAACATCGTCAACAAAAAACAAAGTCCAGTTGCCTTTTGAAGAAGCACTTTTGGGAAAGCACTGATGATGTTACCTAGTTTGGGTAATGAAATGTCTACAAGAATACAACCAGGCTCAGAGAGCACCAAGGACCCTTCATTCACAGAAGACTTTATGTACATGCATCCTCCTAACATTTCTAACATGGTTTCACAATATTCATGTTTTCAGTGAAACAATCTGTCACATTCTTCTGCCATACTCTTGTGTTCCTTATTGATTTTTTTTTTTAATGGAAAGACTATTAAGTCAGTAGTAGACATCATAGCTTCTCTGGATAAAACAGAGGTAAAAAATATCAAAACATTTCTAGGCAATGCCAGTATAGACAGAGAAAGCACTTTTGAAAAGAATTGGCAAATAAGGGCTTACATCTTGAGTTCTTGCTCCCGTTCCAAATGTTCTGAATATTTTTTGCTCCTAAGCAAGAAGCAAACAAGTATATGTGTCTGTGTGACTGACCTTGTAAGGTGCATTTGCAAAAGAGGAGTAAAAAGTATAGAATCAGCTGAGAATTCTTTCCTGCTACATATCCGTTCCCATTGATTGTATTATCATTATTTTGGGAAATGCAGATTTCAAAACAGACATTTGATGAAATAACTTTTATCTCCACCCTGATATTATCTGTTGATTCCTGTCTAGATTGCAGTAGTTCAAGGGGAGCTTGAACAGCTATAAAGTTAGGTTTAATTGGCATAAGCAGAATTTATTCTGGAATGAGAAGTTTATGGATTGTAAACTCTATGGGCTAAGCTGTTCACAATTTCTACATCTGCCCATAAGAAAATAGTGAAGTTCTAATGAGAAACTTAGCTGAGTTGCAGTCTTGAGTTTGAGAATTAATGAACTGAACCAATGCTGGTGACTTTTTGAAAGGGAAGTAAACCGTAAGAATGTTTATAATCAAATAATAATCACTAACTCCAGAATTAAAGCAACTTTTTAAAAAAATCAAATGTCTCTACCAATAAAAATTAAGTTACTCATTAGCTGTCTAAAGATTGAAATCATTAATAATTATAGTTCCACATCTTAAAAAAATATGAAAATTAAAACTAATAAACAGCACAGTACTAAATGTTAAAACTAAGACCAATAGCTATCAATGGAATGTTCCCAATGCTGTGTTTGTAATGGTCTGTTAAATATCAGTGAGGAGAATTAATGAAGAATAAGACAGCTTCCATAACTTGGGTCACATATATATACAGTAAATACAAATACTTCATCATTGATATTTGAATTCTTATAAACTAATGAAAATGACATACAGCATTTCAAACTAGCAATGATTTAACCTAACACAGGTGGAACCACGTAGACTGTTGAATTTGTAGTTACAAAAAAAATATGACAAAACGGAATTCCATCAATAATCACTGTTAAAAAAACACTACTAATTGTCTACATTAGGCAAGTATTTATCAGAAAAGTTTCAAAACTTTTTGACAGCAAGATTCATGGTTACAATATATATTTTTCAAGCTAACTTTTGTTTCCTTGTTTCAAATTCTGTAATAGTAATTTACTCTGAACACAATAATGTGACAAGATGTACCCATATTTTATCAATGGGCTATGAAGCATTATAATATGCCTTAATAATTTCATAAAAACTGAAAACTATTTGTACTGGATGAGTATTGTGGGGGTTTTGTTTTTGTTTTTTTTAAGAAAACCAAGCCCTCTTTCTATGAAGTGCTAAATCATTGTTTAGTCAATGATTAGCTCAGCTGCATAATCCCTCCCTACAAGGAATTCCACTGATAAACAAGACTGATCAGTTGTCCCTGAGAAGGGGAAAAATGTCCAATATGCTGTATTGTATTTATAACTCTCGGATATGCCTGAAATGTTTTCAATTTTAGAAATCACTACATCACCAATTTTACTTCAATTACTTATTTTGCCTACTCTGATTGAATTTTGTTTGCCTAAAGAAATCAGTGTTATTTGTTCTAAGTATTTATGATTAATTCCAGATAGTCTGCACTCTTTGGAAATACCAGAACTGTACAATTATACATATTGACCCTGCATGTTCTAATGCTTACATCTGAAATGTACATCTAAGTACCACATCAGCATATGGGACAAGGGAGTCTTCAAAGCTCATTGAAATAAACTTCTGGTTAGTGAATTGTAAGCTTCAATTCTTTATGATCCATCATAAGCAATAATTCTTTGAAGTAACACCTCAGATGACAGCAGTCTAAATAATGCACGTAGAAGGATTTGTATTTAATATTATTAGTTATTATTTTTATTCTTATGTAGGAACAACTGTAGACCTTACCTTCCAACTTCATCCCAACACTTAGACATTTTTGAAACCGACAATAAGGGCAGCGTTTTCTTTGAGTTTTGTCAATTTGGCAGCTTTGATTTTCTATGCATGTGTACCTTTTGTTATTCTGGACTGTTCGCTTAAAGAAGCCCTGTAAAATAGATAGAACATGTTTACAAATTTGGCACAAAGGCCCCGAACCAGGAATTTGACTTCAGATTATGAAAACATTCACCAAATCTCTCTTCTACTTTCATCCTGCTAGTTCAGCATTTATGAAATGGCTGGTTTGGTTCCAGATTTCCTTGGAGGAAACCCACTAGGCCACAGGCAGAATTTTTCTGAGGCTAGTCTGTGCTGGCATTGATTTAATCAGATCCTGGCCAGGCATCTGTGTTGTTTCCCTCGCCATCATCTACCAGTAGCCATTTGAATGAATTAAAATTCTTTCAAATGATTCTAATTTTTGAAAGTGGCCTTTCAAAATCGCCTAATGCAGAATTTTAAGACAAATCAAACTTGTATTTGCCTATTATTATTATTATTTTTAGACTTCACCAATAGGAATCCTAACTCAGTTCTAAGTCCCAAATGAAAGAGTGTTCCCCAATCTACCACTTGTTACTCTGGTTACTCATGCCTCTGCTGGTGTACTATTCTTCAGTTTATCATCCATCATTACTGCTGTCATCTTACTTCTCTGGTATTTAAAACTAAATTTTAAGCTGTCTCTAAAGATTCTCAATTTTAAGCTGAATTTTAAACTTTTTGGGATTTCAAAAAAAAGTTATTTGCAAGGCTGTCTTTCTTCTCCCTTCCCTCAACACTAAGTACAGCAGCATAAAATATTTCTGGTGACCACGATGATTAAAATCATGTACTAAATAACAGATATTCTAGTTCTTACGTCTCTTTGGGAATAGTGGATGGTAAGCATAAATACATGGGGGTAGTATTATAATGTGATTAACTTTTGATTCAGCATGAATACTGACTTGCTCAAAAGTTCCCTTACCAAATTTGATTCATGTAACTCCAACAGATGCAGGTTTTTACTGCATAAATATTTCTATAGTCCTAAAATTATATATGTATTACTCCAGAAAGCAGTGTTAAAATGATGTTGCTTTAGTACTAATTTGCTTGGTTTCTTTCCCAATACAGAAATATTTTACACAATTGCAATGTACTCCAGATCTAAGGCAAGTCTGGTTTTAATAGCTGGTTGCATGGCACTCCTCTATAATTTTGAGACTCTGCCTGATATAAAATAGAATGCATGAGCAAAAAATATTCTTCATAGTGATGAACAGCATTTTGAAACCATTTAATTGATTTCCACTTAATCACCTTGCAGATAAATATGGACATAAAATGCTGTGTATGTAGGAGGCTATACGCACACTTATAAGCATGTGCAAGCATAAAAAGAATGTCAAGAGAAATTTACATTTGCATCCTGAAAGATGAAAAACTTGAAACAGTTGCCTTCAATATTGTAACCCTGAAATTTATCAGGAACAAGATGCAGCAACAATAATACTCAATGTATATAAATCAACTAAAATCAATATTGAGGACAGCTGGGAATGAAAGTCTCTCTACAACTACATCACTTCACGACAACCAAATATTTAAAGGCATTAAATATAGCTACCCTACACAGAATACCGTGGGCAAGTTTTTCTTTCCATTAAAAGAAACCCTTCTTACTCTTTACTCTCTGCATAACTTCTGCCTTCCGAGAATGCTACTGCACATCTTCACAATATTCTTTTTCCATTAAAAAAATAATAATAACAGAAGCACGATTACCTAGCATTTTTCTCGATCTGATTTTTCAGCTCCCTCCCCCACTTTTTCCCATGAAAATAAATTGTACAAAACCTTGCAACTTTCACAGGTAAGGAGTCCATAGTGATACCCAGACACTTTATCTCCACAGACAGGACAAAGTTCTTCAAGATCTTCATCATAAGAGTAATTCACCATTTTAAACTGAGACACTAGGGGGGGAAAAAAGAAGAAAAATAGGGGGAGGAATTAAACCCTATGAGAATGTATACAAAACATTTGATGCATTATTTCTTCACTGGGGAAAACAATTCCAGGACATCCAGGGTTTTTTTTATTTCCCTTTAAATCCTCAAAACAGGAAAACACAATTTTGAAACAACATATTTTTTTTTTAGTAACCAAAATTATTCTCTCCAAATTCAAAGTAGCAGAATAAAACCTGTTAAAACGAACCACAGTTCTAAATACAGCAAGCATTTTATTGTACTAATCCCCAAAACTGGGTTTTCCAAAGTATTAAACTCTTAGTTCACTCCTATCTGTGCTTACACATAAGTAGGCAGGACTAGTTCAAGACATCCTACTCTGAGGTTTACATGCCTGAGGCTGCAGTTACTTTTCTTCAGTTTATTATTCTTGGGATAAAGATCACCATTTATCGGTAAGATATTTAAAATGTAATTGCATTTAAAAATTAAAAATCAGATGACTAAGTGGAAAAGTAACTTTTCTCTGTACTTTGAAAGTTCGTCTATAACAAGTCACCTTAAAAAAAATGTTTACCTAACCCCCATTTCAAATTTACAAAACTAGTAGTCTAAGTGGGGGGAAAAAACCCAACAACTTAAAACAGTATTTTAGAAAGGGAGATGAAGAGAAGGGGGAAGGGAAGGAACTGCAATTTTTACATATTTTACAATTTGTCTTTTTTTTTTTAAAAAAAATCATTCTACCTTAACTCTTTTTCCTTGCTGTCTCAACCGACCAGAGAAAATACATCAACTGCTCAAGGATTTAAAGAGACTCTGAAGGCTGAGCTTGCAAACTCTTGCAAACTCCTTCAAATGCTGGTAACTAAAAACAAAGAAGAAAGTCTTACGACAACTTTCCTTCCTTCCTTCCTTCCTTCCTTCCTTCCTTCCTTCCTTCCTTNGGGGGAGGAGAGGGAAGTTCTCTTGGCCAGGGAGAGAAGTAGCTAAAACCTGAACCCGGATCCCTGCCCTCCCCCTCCGCCGAACCGTCGAGAAATGGGAACGCGAGGCGTAATTTCAAAAGTGCGAAGAAACTAGCGCGAGAGAAGCGGGGAAATACTACTAAAATCCTTTCCCGGATTTTAGGCACACCGGAGCAGCGCAGGAAGACCATTGGCCGGACATGGGTACTATTGGGGGCGCTGACTAGTCGGCCCTGAACTTTCGGGGCGGGAATTTTAGGTGGGACCTAGGAAGATGCCGTGCGCCCAAGCCTGGGATCTTCTACTTTTACGCGGAAGTTCTTCCTCTTTCGGACAGGAGTAATAGACGGGGCCAATGCAGGGCGCGACCCCAAATTGTTCGGTACCCCAAGATGCTTAATCTGGGAGAAGTAAAGACGAGGTTGGCTGGGTAGCAATGATTTCGGATCTTCTATTTAGGCCAGAGTCGGAGATTCTCTTGTCTCGCACACAGATGTTGCCCGATTTGGAAGTGGAAGTGGAAGCGAGGCAGTTCTGGATGCGACTGCAAACGCGCGCGCTTCTTTCCGAGGCCGGTTCCCAAAGGGGCTTCATTTCTGGAGGAAACGAAGCCGAGAGAGAGAGAGAGAGAGAGAGAGAGAGAGAGAGAGAGAGAGAGAAAACTGATAGCGGCACCGTCCCTCCCTCTCCAAATCGCTGCGTTCCCGGGAAGCCACCAAGGGGAGGAAAAGGCCTTAAGAAGCGCGTTTCGAAATCTTAAAACTACCCACCTGCCCTCCCCCGTTTGCCGCGGTGGCACCCAGGCGAATCCCCGAGGAGGCTTCCTACAACCCCGCGCCCTTCTTCGGGAATTCCCGAAACGGGTATAAAGGGGCCGGATCGAGAGATGGAGGGAGGGGGATCTGGGCAGAAGCGGCGAAGGAGCCGTCCAAGAAGCGAGAGAGGCCAAGGGGCTTCGCCTCTGCATGGGCGCCTCCAATTCTGCCCGCTCCATCAAAGAGGCCCCTCTGAGCTGGTGGGCACCACCTCAGCCGGGAAGAGGCTTTCAGTGGCTCGTCCGCCCCTTCCGACTGGAGTTTTCCCGGCAGAGCCGTCAAGGCAAGAACTTCAACTGTCAACCGCCCCGGAGAAGGGAGCAGGACCTTCCCTAAGGCTTGCCCCAGAGGAAGCAAAAGAAGGCAGGGTTGCAGCCTTAAGCTCATTTACCTGCGAGCATCTTCTAGCATCCTCCAGCCGTGGACCGCACCAGGCTGGTTGGATGCCTTCTAGAAGAGGCCATGAGCAATTATTGGGGACAGGCCAGGGTTTATAATTGCCCGGTTCAGACTTGCCCGGGAGAGAAGTGACCTGCCCCCTTCCACTGCTGCTACCCGCGCTGGACCCAACTCTCCGCGTCCTTCTTAACGCCGAAATAAAAACAATTCCCGCTGACACCTCCTTACAAAACAGTCACTCTGCGGTCGGACAATTGTGTTTCCTAAGGTGTTTCAGGAACGGGCATTTCAGGACGCGGCTTCATTTTCCCAAGGCACCCGCTTCGCCACGTTTCTCAATTAAATTCGTGCTCTGGGTTGGCCCTTGAAGCAGAAACTAACCTAAGGGGCTAGTGTTTGCACAGTACTTATGGACCCCCCCTTCCCCAAAAAGCTTAACCAAACTGAACATCAAACTTGACGCGTTCTGCGAAATGCACGCACTAAATCGCTACCTCAGCTTCTGGCGCTTAATGGGGGGGGGGGGGGGGAAA